GCCGGTGGAGAATCGCGCCCGGCTGCGGAGGGGGGTGCAGGGTCGGGGGTCCCCAACACGGGGTCACACGGAGAACAGTGGCAAACGCACAAAGCCAGTGCCGGAAAAGGCTGCTGCCTCGGCTCCGCTTTTAGCCGGCGTGGCCCCGGAGACATGGGGTGCTCCCTGTGGGGGTGCTGCCCAGCACGGCGGGGGAAGGAGGCACCCGAGAATCGCGCCCGGCTGCGGAGGGGGGTGCAGGGTCGGGGGTCCCCAACACGGGGTCACACGGAGAACAGTGGCAAACGCACAAAGCCAGTGCCGGAAAAGGCTGCTGCCTCGGCTCCGCTTTTAGCCGGCGTGGCCCCGGAGACATGGGGTGCTCCCTGTGGGGGTGCTGCCCAGCACGGCGGGGGAAGGAGGCACCCGCGCTGCCAGGGCCTGGCCACAGAGAGACCCGGGAGGGGCTGAGGTAGGACGCAGCGGAACAGCGCGACTGTGATTCCGGGAGCTGAGGCCGCTTCCCGGCAGTGCCGCAGGGCATCTGAGCTGGGCACCGGCGGCGGCACAGGGCTGCTGAGGGGCCCTTCCCGGCTCTCATCCCAGATGGAGACGTACCCCCGAGGCAAGGGTGCTGTAGCCAGGGAACACAGCCCCAGCGGACAGGCAGCAGGGCTGGTCCGGGGCCAGGGTCGATGGCCTGTGGAGAAGGCTAAAGCCAGTGCCACCTCCCACCAGGCCAGTGCTCAAGGGAGCAACTTCCCAGACAAAGGGAGTGCCGCAAGGGGACAGCAGAGAGAAGAGGAGGAGCTGTCCCAGCCAAGAGCCGGCCCCCAACCGCCAGCCTGGCCCTGACACTCCCAGACGGGGCCAGGTGTCGAGCGTCTTTGTCTGCAGGAGGCTGGGCCCAGGCCTACGCGTCAGCCCGGCGTGGCTGGAGGGGGGTGCTCCAGTGCTGGGCGTGGAGGGGCGAAGGACCCCCGGGCGGGCGGGATGTCGCTCCCAGCCATGAGGCCGGCACAGTGTCCCACGGGCAGCCCCGCATGTCTGGAAACCCTCCGGCAGGACGGTGCCCGTTCTCCCCACCCCGGGGCAGGCGCCGTGCTGTTCCCAGCCCCCCGTGCTGGGACCCAGACTCACATGGCCCCCGGCCACTAGACACAAGGCAAAGCCCTTTGAAAATGACGCAAGGCCAGAGGGCAGTCGCCCAAACCGCACGGCAAAGGCTTGGGCCCGGAACGCCTTCTCCAGAGCCCAGGGAGGGAGCAGAGCAGTGCAGCCAATCAGCGGCCTCGCCCGAGGGGGGCTCGGACCGGCCCCACACACAGGAGAACTAGAAGACTCGCCTGGTGTTGCCTGGGTCCTACAGAGCAGGCAGCTCTCCCCCCCACCCCCGGCTTCCTTCTGGAGAGTGTGGGGGGGTGACTTTCTCTCTCCCCACTTACCTGGGTGACGGGGGGGGATCACGTGAGGATTCCCTGTTCGGTTCCCTCCCTCTGGGGCACCTGGCGCTGGCCGCTGTGGGCAGACGGGACTCTGGGCTGGACGGGCCTTTGGTCCGACCCAGTGTGGCCGCACTTATGTTCCTGTCTGCCGGCAGGCAAGACAGCCCCCCCCAGCCCCTCTGGCCACTCCCTTGGTGGGGGCAGCTGCAGTACAGCTCTCCGAGTATCACACCCCTCTTCTCTCCGCCCCCTCCCCTTCCCTGTTATGGAAGCCAGTCCCATTCCAGGCACATCCCGTTGTCCTGGCACAGCCAGACCCTGCCCTCGGTGTCTGTTAGGAGACGAGGAGGCTGCCTAGCACACTGGGTGGTCCTAGGTTTGGGACGAGTTCTTGAAGAAACAGACTCACAACCACACACACAAAGTTTCTAAAGCATATGGAAGGATGAGCCAACAGAGCCTCAGGAGAGGTTCAAAGCAGAACCAGGGGGTGCCCTTTGATGTCCTAATGACAGGGCCGGGCATCCCAGAGCCTTGTGGAATAGCTGACTGCCACCTGCCGGGGGAGAGTTTGTAGGGCCGGGGAAGGATCGTTGCTTTGCTAAGCGAGCTCACACAAACGGCTTTGTCCCAGCTCGCAGCAAGCAGGGAGAAATGCACAAACAGCTGTCAGGCTCTGCTGCCTTAACACAGGCGAGGCGAGGGGCTGAACTGGGACCCCGGGGAACTCGGAGCAAGAGCCGGTACGTCAGGGCAGACGGACGCCCGAGCAGCTACCTTATATCCAGCTCGCTGAAGAGGCTCGTGTCAAAAGAAAGTTTCAGGTGTTTGAGCTCTTCAAAGTGCTGCCGATGCTCCACCCGGAAGGCCTCGAGCTCCCGCGCCCGCTGGAGGAAGGGTTCCGGGCCCCGGGGCTGGGCCAGGCCGTAGCTCAGCCAGAGGTACTGCTCCGGGCTGCACCGCATCAGCCGCACCTCCCGCCACAGCGCCTCCAGCACCACGTCCCGCAGGGCGTTCTCCTTCTTCGTGCGGTGCCAGGCAAAGAAGTTCAGGGATGGCAGGAAGTAGCTGGGCAGCTGCCGCGTCTCCAGGCTGAACTCCAGCACCTTCAGCAGGGTCCCCAAAGCATCCAGACCCGTGGCCCAGGCCTGGGGCTCCGGGTAGAGGTAGGAAGCCCAAAAAAGAACCATCTGCAAAATACACATGCCACTCTAACCACTAGAGACTGCTACCCTCCCACAACAAGGGCTAGAAGAACCCAGGAGTCCTGGCTCCAGCCCCCTCTAACCACTAGACTCCACTCCCCTCCCGGAGCTGGGGAGAGAGCCCAGGAGCTCTGGCTCCCGGTTCCTTCCCTCTAATCTTCTAGCTCTTTCTCCCCGGTACCCTGGATGGTCGTATCGCCCATCCCCCAGCCCAGACTCCGCGTCCGAGTCACCTTCAGGTGGTAGGAGGTCAGGACTTTGCCGTAGCGCGGCGCCCACTGCTCCGTGTTGACTTGCTTCAGCACCCGCAGCGCCCGCCGGCGCCCGCCATCCGCGTCAATGTCTGCGAGCAGCCGGGTCTCCACCAGGGAGAAGGTGAGCCTGGGGTGGGGTAGGGGAAATGGGGCTGAACGGGCGTGTGGGTCAGAGACCCCCCTCAGCTGTCACACGCGTGTGTGGGGCCCTCTGCGGGAACCAACGAGAGCTGCATTTTCACCTCCAGTAGGAATTCTTGGCCACCAGATCGGTCCCCCGCGTCAATGTCTGCGAGCAGCCGGGTCTCCACCAGGGAGAAGGTGAGCCTGGGGTGGGGTAGGGGAAATGGGGCTGAACGGGCGTGTGGGTCAGAGACCCCCCTCAGCTGTCACACGCGTGTGTGGGGCCCTCTGCGGGAACCAACGAGAGCTGCATTTTCACCTCCAGTAGGAATTCTTGGCCACCAGATCGGTCCCAGCTCCGTAAATCTCCTCGACATTCCAGGGGGGCTTTCCCCGCACGGTGCCGCGCTCCCGGTCCCCCCAGGCCGAGAGCCAGCTCAGCTCCTGCCGCGGCCACTCCAGGGACATGTCCACCTTGCCCCGGATGGTGGGCACCAGGTCGATGGACACGGCGCGGCCGCCCACCCCCAGGCTGAGCTGCACGGCGGGGCTGATGGGCGTGAGACCCACCGTGTTCTCCAGCCGGAGGTTGCCTTGCGGAGTCACAAGCAGAGAGAATACGAATCAAAGCTTCGCGACGCTCCCTGAGGGCAGGGAGAGGTCGAGGGCCAAGCTCTTATGACACCCGGATTGCCTCCTGACTCAGGGAGGAGAGTGGGGGCTAGTGGTGAGAGCAGGGGGGCTGGGAGCCAGGACCCCTGGGGTCCACTTTGGTGCGTCTGTCACCCCGCGTAACCAACACCGTCTCCAGGGGAGTCCGGGGAAGAACCAAGAAGCAAAACCAGAACCCCTCCCTCCCTCCCCCCTCGCTCTGGGGACT